TTTCCCTTCCTGTCGGATCGTATGTTACGACATTTTGATCGGAAGAAACAATAGGAGCTCGCTGGCTCACTACAAGAAAAACGTCAAAAAGCGGCGGTTACTATGGATAAACCGGCAGTTTTCCTGTTTACCGGCGGCTTGGCGGCGGCATTCAAGCCGCCGGTAAAAATCGCGTAGGAAACTATTACCGGCGGCCTTTTACCGGCGGTTTATTTAGGCGGCGGTTTTCCGGCGGCTTATACCGCCAGTGACAACCGGATTTTCAACCGGCAGTTTTTCGGCCGTTATGCCTCCGGTTAGTTGACCGACGGCTAACCAGCGGTCATATTACCGACAGTCGTCCAGCGGTTAAAGCGGGCGTCGTGTGTTCGCTAATCCGACGGCAAGTGCCGGTAGACCGCCGGTTAAATTACCGGCGGTATCCGGCGGTTGTAGCCGTCGGTGTACACCGCCAGACGTCCACGGTAACTCCGCCGGCGGCCGTCGGTAACCGCCGGTTAAATACCGGCGGTGTAATGACATTACCGGCGGCTTAGCATTGGCCGTCCGGTATCGTAGTTTCCGGCGGCCAAACAGCCGGTTGACTGCTGGAAACCTGTAGCACCTGCAAAAAAGAATTGACAGCATTCCCTCTATTTGAGGGAGGTTCACCCTAAAGTCTAAACCTGCAGAAAGAGCAATACATTTTGGGCAACACGCCGCTATATTCATCAGAACCATAAATTCTAAATACAATCACAAGTTTCAAGTTCACAAGATTACAATCATCAAACATAAATGTTACAATCACAAGTTCACAAGTAAGTTCATCTTAAGGTTACAATCACAAGTTCACAAGTTCTAAATACAATCATCAAACATAAAAAATATCTAATCCTCAGCTGTATCCTTACTGTCTGCAGATGGCTGCTCCTCTTGCTCCTTCTTTCTCTGATTTTCAGCTCTGTAGGATTGAAACTCTGCTTGCATTTCATTTTGAACTTTTCTCATTTCTTCAATCTCTCTAGATTGAACCCTTCTCATTTCTTCAATCTCTCTAGTCAGCGCTGCAACCCTCTCGCTTACAGATTCTTCTGCTCCACTTGGATCATAAAATGCAGAGGTGGATGAACTTCCCTCAATAGCAAAACCCTGTGAACCCATGCCATATACCCTTCCCCTCTGTCTTCCACCTATAACTTCTGACCATGTATGATACTCAGAAATGTGGGCCGATCCTGAAGATGATCCCTCGCCAGTGGACTGTCGACTTTCTCTAGCTCGTACGAAATCATCCTGCGAGTTACAATTAGTTTTATTAAAATAATTTTTTTTTTCTAAAACTCCAAAAAAATTTACTCACATGAGCCTTCTTAGCCTTCTCATCAACCCACTGATGGTCAGCTTGATGTTGATGAGTTCTTGTATCTAAAACTAAATATATGGAGTGTAATTTTTGGCAAACAAGTCATTAATAAGAGTACACATCTTAGATATCTTGGATCTATTGTTCAGAGTGATGGTGAAATAGATGAGGATATTATCAGCATAATTCAAGTTGGATGGTTGAAATGGAGGAATGCATCGGGCTTGTTGTGCGATAGAAAATTCCCCCTCAAACTTAGGTCTTGCTCTCTCATATATGATCTCTCTCCCTCTCCCTCTCTTGTCACAATCAAAGTCACAATTAATCAACAAATTTGATCTACCCTAAAAAAAATTTAAATCTACTCAAATGATTACAACATTACCTCTTGCATTACTATCTAAATCATCCAAAATATCTCTAACACTTGCAAATGTCTAGTGAGAACAAATAATCAAAGAAAAACCATAAAAAAATACCTTAAAATAGAAATCTAGGGTTGAAAATTGGAAGTCGGCGGTCGGTTTGGGGTCGGATTGGGTCGGCGGTCGGATGTCGGAGTTTAACCGTCGGCGGTCGGATCTGGGTCGGCGGTCGGAGAAGCTTCTTCGGCGGCGGTCGGAGAAGCTTCGTCAGTGGCGGTCGGACGAGCGGAGGCGACGGCAGAGCGACCGAAACGAGAGAGATGGAAAGAGTAAGAATGAAATGTGAGTTGCGGGTCTGGTCGTATTAGGGCATTTAATCCATGGCTAAAAATATTAGAAATGACCTTTTTATTAATTTTAAATTTGACACTTAACAAGACACAATAAAGAAAAATGATTCATGTAGCCGATCCCACATAGTAGGATAAAGGCTTAATGTTATTGTTGTTATTGTTTTGTTTAAGTTTAACAATTATCCCTAGATTTTTCTTGTGTAACATTATCAGAAAAGATGGTAACCTCTAAAAGAATGATTCGAGGTACCCTCTTTCATTAGTGATAGCCTGCTCATGCATCGCCAAGCCTTCTCATTAGAAAAATCAATACCTTAGTCCCTCTTCATGTCTGATATGATTATATTTGGCTTCATATTAGGATTAGATGCAATGAGATTATAATAAGTCATAGTTGAGCGTGTGGCGGTCTTTCAATCAAACATCCAAAGTACAAGTTATTCTTATTCAAAGCTCTTGATCTCAACCATACTTGTATTTATTAATTTCTTCGTCAAGCTCTCTTCGCTTACATGCTCCATAAGCATTTTTCTAAAGCGCAATGGATGTATCATATTTATTTACCTTATTTTTTAAACTTGATTTGAAAGTTCTATTTGTTGCATGGATATGTAACATCGGCTAAAATATCTTTTTGTTCTCAAAGAGCTATCCAATTTAATATCAAATCGAGGACAAATTAAAGTATGATGTCATTATATCAATGAACATTACTTTGGAGGTCCTTTCAAGCATTTAACCTTATAGGATCAGGGTTATGTATGAGTTCTCCGTAACTTAAATTATTACTTTTCTCCCTAATATACATGAAAAATCAGCAGACTTTATTCGTTTGCTGGTTTCAGGTTGATCACAAACTGTTATTAACTCCAACAGATGCTTCAGTATGGGAGCATCTATGGAACCACTATTATCTATGTCCTTAGCATCACCTATTTTTACATATTCTATCTCCACATCGTCACTTATTTTTACATGTGTTATGTCTATACAGTTTGCAACCATCTACACCAGTTGAGGATAATTACTTGATTGGTCTTATATCATCCTCATTTATCTAAAAAATCAAAGCTGAAATCTTCTTTGGATCAATAGACACATATATAGGAGAATGATGTTGAATGTATAAATATATATCATTTAAGAAAGGCTTGGTCATAATCTATATGCAGCTCAATTGGTGGAATTGAAATTGTTGATTATACTCCACCAATGTTATACATCATCTCTAATTTCAAACTAATTTTATTCTTATCAACCTCTATCACTTGGTATATAAGATCTATTATATTTTCAAGGGAAATACTTCTTTGTACCATCAATCTCTTGCTTCTTTTTCCCGTGAATGTCTAGTTGACTTTCCTTTCTTCCTTCTATTCTTTGCCACATTGTGTAGTAATATTGATATTTGATTCACCTTTAGAAAATAATTGGCTAGCATTTTATTTATTGTCATTTGAACGTGGTTCAATAATGGATCAATCATATTTGAATATGGTTTGGATATATTTGAATATTGGTGGACCTATGTTTAAACAATGATCCAACAATATTTGAACATGCTTTGGTCGCTAATAAAATTATAATCAGACATAATCATACCATATTCTAACCATGTTAAAATATTTGTACGAACTATGATCGTCTTCTACGAACAATGATCAAATAAGGTTGGATAGTTGTTTGAGTAATGATTGAACAACAATATATGATACTCTCGAACCACGTCCAATCATGGTTTGAATAAGATCCGAACATAGTTCGCGTACATATTTTTTAACAATTATCAAAACACATTTTTGCTAGGCTATGTTAAAATGATATAATCTATGATACAAAATGGAAATGTAAAAAAAAAAAAAAACTTTTATCTAGTTGAAGTTGCCAATGAATGAAGAAATATCTAATTTAACTGGTGCGATCCCTCCAAAATGTAGAAATCTTGGAGAAAGGTACGACGACGATAGTTCTGAAGAAAGCCAGAGTGAGAGGGGATGTCATTTTTCCTATAGCCTGGGTTGTAGGTCAAATAAGGGGTGTTTTGGTTTGGAGGGAATTTTCGGGCATATTTTCCTATGAAAATAAACATGGAGTATATTTCTCTAATTTTCACTATTATGGCATATAAAATTGAATTTATCTTTCTAATACATCAAAATATAGAAAATAAAATATTGTGATTACCATGTTAATCCCAAGAGATAGCCTTTTGATAGTACAAACTTTATTTTTTTATTGATTGTGGGGGCTCCTGATTGAGATATTATCAGTCCATGAAATTGGCTCATATTATAAAATGTATTTTAATTTTTAAATTTATAAACTGAAAATTTTAATAAACATTTTAGAAGTGTTGTATTAATAACAAAAAAATCAATGAAACCTATAACTACTAAAACCACTGAAACAGTAGCATGCTTAATGAGATTGAAATCGAACTGAAAACTTTGGTTGTATCCTCTATTGGTCATTGAGAGAGAATTGGTGGGCACATCCAGGTTGGTAGGATCTAAATAATTGTAGAACGTCTTTGGCAATATTTGTGAGAAGTGAATTATATTTGTTATGGAAGCTTTTGCCCCTTCAAATTTTGGATAAACTCTTTCTTCTCCTTATTTTATATCCTAGCTCTGCAATTATGTACAATCCTAAGAAATAAAGTGATAAAAATAATTATTTCAGATTTTAGTATGTTATTTTATATGTATATATCTAAAAGTGAAACCAAAAGATTTAGGCTTTGTTTGGGACGGTTTTCTTACTGCTTCTTAAAGCAGCTTTCTAGCACAAAAAATTAAGAAAGCCGTCGCAAACGAAGCCTTAATCAGCTAAGACATAGGGCTTGCTGAATGATTTATATACGTGAATTCTGTTTGTTGTTGGTAATCAACAACTATTATTCCCTATTTCTAAATTTTCTTCTACTGCATTTGACAGGGATGGCTATTAGATCAGTTTGGGGTTCTTCATGATGGGAAGAAACCATACCCTGGTGCCATTTCAACATGTATGTCATTTATTTCATATATAAATTTATTAATATATATTTTACAATTTATAACAAATTTTTTACTGGAGATGCGGTAACATTATTTTTTCATTGTAGTGGAAAATTTAGCAAATCATGGTGCAAAGATGGTAGTTATAAGCAATTCTTCCCGGCGAGCATCCATAACAATTGAGAAACTGAAGGACCTTGGTTTTGATCCTTCTCTGTTTCTTGGAGCTTTCACAAGTGGAGAACTAACACATCAATACCTTGAAAGGTCAGGCATCTTTTTATCCCTTTTCGTTGATTAGGGGTAGGGGATCTTAGTGCATTTTCATTTCTCATTGATCATATTTAGTGATATATAAAAGGGCAATGCCCGTTTCACCTCTATACTCAAAAGTATACAAGCAGTGAAGTGCAAATGAGATAAGTCACAGGGGGTAAAGCACACGTTGCCTAGTGAAATTAGTGCTGGTTAATTCGGAGATGTGATGGAAGATCATGTATAATTCAGTAGTTGAACTTGATTCTAGATTGTTTGAGAGATGGATCCCATGGAATCATTCAATTGTTTTATCGGAATAGTTTGATAGAAAACATGAATCCCATGGTAACAGCCATGAGCATTGCATATTGATCATCGCAGTTGTAAATTGTTTAATATTTATTTTAGTAGCTATTTAATCACGCTATCCTCCCTTTCATTGTACTCAATAATAAGGGTGAGATTGCTAAATATAATTTCGTTATTGTCTTCCATTCTGAGCTTGAAATTTGGAGGATTTAAAGTTTAAAATATCCAAACCATTGAGGATTAGTATGAACAGAAAAGAATTTCAATGCAATATTACAATGGGCATCTTGGTTGAAAATACAGTTTTCTAGCAGTATATTGGGATTTGTAATGGCCATTTACAATGGTTGGCCCATATCGGAGAACATTTATCTCGCTCTTGATGTCAAAATCTAGAAAATGGGATTATTGAGCTTTCTGATCGTTTCATCCAGCTTGCTAATAGTTTAAATTATCAAGTGTGATTCTGAACTTTAATGATGGAAAAACAAAGAAAATACAATCTAATTAACGCTTATAGCTTTCATTGTTTCGATCATGGCCTAGGGCTGTCAAAAGCGGGTTTCGGGTAAGATTCAGTTCGAGCCCGAGTCTGACCCGGTATGTTTTAACCCGACCCGAATCCAACCCTTTTTTGGAAATGGGTCGATTTTTCGGACTCAAACCTGACCCGCGCATTCGTGAATCTAGCGCATTGGCATCATTGCGTGGATGGGAGTCACTTAGTCTGCAACGTTGTTCAATTGTGTCCGGCCGCACGGTCGCCAATGCCCTCATGGGCGCTGCCGCAACCAAGAAGAATCGCCAAGCTTTATCATCCCAATCCCATAACTCTTTTTCCCCTACCAAGAAACCCAAAGCCCTAGAGGCCCCATCTGCCACAGACCAACCAAAGAAGTTGGAAACCACCGACATCCTTGTTGAACTCAGGAAAAATGGCTCCGATTTCGACCCTAAAGCCGCCACCTCATGGAAAGACGACGATCCGATACCATTCATCTTCCTCTCCTGTGCACAGTTGCACTAGACCTCATCTTGAACGAGTCAGCTAGGATCGCAATCACGGTAAACCGGCATGAGGCCTACAATGAAGCGATATTCTCGGGTCAATCCGAGTTGGTTTCGGGTTTCCGGGTCAACCCGAACCCAACCTGTTTCGGGTCCAGATTGACCCTAACCCGGAATTTTATGGACTCGACACAAATATGGTTATAACTCAATTGTGTATTAAAGGTATCTTACTTTACATTTCTGCTCTTCCTCTCTATTATTCTTCTTGATATCTTAGTTACTTGACATATTCCTAACGTTGGATTTGTACTCCATTATTATAAATATTAAATAGTTTTTAGTACATACCTGCCCTATAGAAAGCAAGCACATCATACACAGTACTAGCTATGTGGTGTCCAATATTTTTCTAGATTTTGTGCCATTGTGTTTGCATTGCGCAATATCCATTAACAATTCAGTGTCAGTGCTTCACAATGAGCTAGTGATTATTATCATCGTGATTTTGCTACATTAATACTGTTTTTCCAGTGGATTTCTTCCTTTAAAAAACAGAAGAAAAAGGAAAATTAGATATGCTGCCTGATTTCTTCTACTTCGAAATGAACAGGAGGGATGATCCATGGTTTTCGGAACTGGGACAATGTTGCATTCACATGACATGGCATGATCGAGGTGCAATATCTCTTGATGTACGCTCGCATTGTTAGTTTTTCAATTTTTGTGATCCTTACAAAGAATATTGAGCATTGATTGAAAATCTTTGAAGTTATTATGATCTTTTTTTTTTTTATGAAATTTGGTGCTGTATAATGCTAGCGATGTGCAATATCTATTGATCCCATTACTGATTATCAACTTTAGCCAACCATAATGCCCAGCTGATTATCTATAATAAACATTTACTGCATAATCGATGTAATTCATGTAAATATGGGATATGCTTTACTGAAATTAATTATGTGGATTCGTTGTTGTAGGGGTTGGGCTTGCAAGTGGTGAACCGGGTAGATGAAGCAGATTTTATTTTAGCGCATGGTACTGAAGCACTTGGCCTACCTTCTGGTGATTCACAGCCTATGAGCCTTGAAGAGCTTGAGAAAATTTTAGAGCTATGTAGTAAAAGGAAAATTCCAATGGTGGTAGCTAACCCGGATTTTGTTACTGTTGAAGCTAGAGGTTTGCGTGTAATGCCTGGTAAGTCTAGTGAACTATATACTGATGAATGACCAGTTCTATACTGGAACTTTTTCCTTTTCCATGTAAACTCGGATGCTGTTGCAATTATAGTTATTTGCGATTAGACATGCAGATTATGCAAGTTCATTAGTAGATAGAAGATCAACATCAAATTATTACACAATTCTTAACGAAAATGTTGTAGCACGAAAGAGCAAAAAAGCATACCGTTGTGGGGATAGATTAGGGTTGAATCAAAATTCAGAGCTATGGTCTGAGAAATTTGTGTTATGACTAAAGATCAACTTAGATGAACAACAAAACAAGTGAGAATGTCCTTGAACTTGTATTGTAACGACAAGTCAACAAAAGGTTTTGATCATAGTCATAACACAATACAGCATGACCAAACAAAAAATATTGACATTCATAAATACTTCATCAGGGAAAAGCTAGAAGATGGCTTAATCAGCACGTCTTATGTGCCCTCAAGAAATCAACTGGCATATGTGTTTACAAAAGACTTAACGGAGCAATTTTTCATGAAATCATGATGCAGGACTATGTAAATGAAATGCAATTTAACTTATAAGGAGTTTGCACAACTTGTGATTTGAATAATTCAAGAACAAAATTACTAGCGAATTCAAACAACGATTCAAAACGATTAGGAGTTATCCACTTAGGTTTAAATCAAATGCTATGAGTTTTGAAACTTCCAAAATAAATAGAAAAATTAACACAACGCGTAGTATTAGTTTTCAATTTAATCTCTAATCTAACAATGAGAATTAGGATGCATCGAGGTGCGCTCAAAACCTACGATTACTAAGCTTAAGCAAAAGCAATTGGAAGAGTCCGTCGTGACTGCAATCAAACCAACGAGAATTTAGACTAAAAGGAATAAGACGCAAGGGAAAAGAGAAACCTTCGTTAGGGAGAGGTGGAGATCCTCTACTCGACGCCTTCGAAGTGCTCGTCAATGGCTTCCGTCAAAGCAAATAGGATGCGCTCCACGTAGCCTTCAACGGTGCGGTCAATCTCAAGATTCACGTCGAAGAAGGTGGAACGTAGGATGTCGGTGAAGCCGTCTTCGTCCCAAGTGATGCCGTATTCAGTTTCCGGATCCGCCATTCATGGGAGTTAGGAAACAATTCTCTTCTTTATCTTGCTAAGGGTCTTGAGATGAATGAAGAGAAAGAAGTTTCTCTTACAATTGAAAAGGAGGGAGAACCAAGGAGGAAATCTGAAATAAAATTTCAGATTTTTGTGTATGGAGAGTCAACAATGAGAGGGAATTTTGACAGAGAAAGGGGGCGGGTAAGGGAGGCTAGGCCGGCGGCAAGGATGAGGAGGTAGGGGATTTAAATTGTTTCCTAAAGCAAGTGGTTAACTTTAGAAACAATTTCAATCAAGGAGGTGGAGTTTTCGGCTGAGGAGGTGGAGGGAAAATAATAATACATATTTCCAAAGGGGGTTTAGGAAATAATTAGGAAATAAATCCCAATTGTTCATACAAGGGGGCCGGCGGCATGAATGGGCAAGGGGGGCTTTTATGAGGGCAATTAAAGTTTCTTAATTTGAGTTTTGAATTAAGGAAAGAATTATTTTAAAACCAATTGAATTGTAAATTCAAATTAAATCAAAATTAGAAACTTTCCTAAAATAGTTGAGTTATTTTAAGAAAGATTTTGAAATTCAAATTCAAGGAATTGAATTTCAAAATTATTCCCAAATCAACTTACACCCAATCAGGAAACTTCAAGAGGGAATATGGGCTGGACTGTGGCCGGCGGTTAGAGCCTGTGGCCGACAGCTGGATCGAGTGGGAGCTTGGCTGTGGGATGGGGAGGGGGAGTAGGGGCTCGAGTGAGGGTTGTGGGAAGGGAATTGGAAGGGGTTTTGGAGGTGGGAGGAAAGGTTCGGTGGGACGAAATTTGGTGGCTTGGGTGGAAGGTAGAAACAAGGTATTGAAAGATAACGAACCACGAACCCGTCCGTCTCCAAGGTTGGTGGGTAGTGCGCAAAGATCCCTCTCCTAGGGAGCTCTCTCCATCAAACACTCAAACTCTCACAAGAGCTCATGCAAGAAGAATATTTCATAAGCAATCATTCATTAATTAAAATAGAACAAAGTGAGGCTTTAAATAGCCTCATACAAATGACTCAAAAACAAAAGGCATAAATGTCCTTTGGGCTTACATACGACAACTCCCATAAGAGGGGTACAACGGAAAATAATAAAACACACCTAAGCAAATAACAAAATACATGAATAATAAAATACACCAATGACTTAGAAATATAAAGACTCGATCGTGGCCGTAGATCGGTGGCTACGTCTCTGATAAACTTTCCATGATGATAAAATGCACCACGGTCTAGGAAGCTTTCCAAGTACCCCATTGTGTTTAGGAATGGACCCGGAACAACTAGGAAGGACTTTATACCTCTTGGTAGGTCAAATGAACAACATTAGCCAGCAGCTTAAGGAAAACCAGTCAGATTTAGCTGAGCTTCGTAGGAACACCACGGAGAGATTTGATGCACTTGAGCGAGCTAGAGAAAACCCGACTCCCTATACCCCATCTAGACCTCCTTCTATGTATGGGGATGAAACCTACCCGAATGAGAGGCCACATCGGGCCAATCATCGAGCTCCCTACCATGGACATGGCCCACATCATGATCCTGATTTGGATGATAGGCATCACCGTGCCAATCATCGTGCTACCTATCACAGCCATGATCCCGATGCACCACTGATGAAGAACATTAAGGTTGATGCTCCTACCTTTGATGGCACCCTCGATCCCCAGCTCTTCCTGGACTGGGTCAAAGATATGGACAGTTTCTTTAAGTGGTATGACTTATCTGAGGCCAGGAAGGTTAGTTTTGCGGCTATGAAATTAACTGGTAAGGCGAGTCAGTTTTGGGCGAACTTAGAGAGTCTCAGGGAAGATATGAATGATTACCCTATTATAGATTAACTGTCCATGAAGCGGGAACTCAAACAGAAGTACTTACCTTCATCGTACTTTCCCCGCCTATTGGACAGGTGGAATAGGTTGACGCAAGGCAACAAACCAGTGAAGGACTACATCACCTTGTTTGATGACTTCTTGATTCGTTGCAAATGGGAGACCTCTACCACCCCCCGCGCAGATCTTATCTATGTTTCGTACCGGGTTGCGTGAGGATCTATGCAATGAGTTATTTGCCCGGAACATCACTACACTGGAGAATGCCTACAGCCTAGTGCTTGATCTAGAGGAGTCCCGTTCTCAGCACCCGAGTCGATCCCATGATTCTAGACCCTCCTATAGATCAGCCGGTAGTTCCACCCCACACACTCCTTCTTGACCCACTCCTGGGAGCACGACCCGACCACCCACGAGTCCACCTGCACCTAGATATGATTTTAGAAGTAAACCTTCCACCCCGGATACCCCTCGGTCCAGTCCCGGGACCAAGTGTTTTCGATGCCAGGGGTTTGGGCATATCGCTTCTCAGTGCTTCAGTCCGTATGAGGTTTCGATCGTTGAGGAGATTACTGTGGATGATCTCGAGCCCGAGATTGATCAGATCCACCAAGTCGAGGAAGAAGGCGAGTACTTCGAGGAGGACGACGACACTACGGTCCTCAATTGCCTTCAGAAGTTGGATACCTCTCCCATCTGCGCGGTGAGATGTGCGCTATCCCACCCGACCCACTGATGACTGGCGTAGGACCTCGATTTTTCATACCTACACCAAAATCAAAGACAAGAACTGCAAAGTCATAGTGGATAGTGGTAGTTGATAAATGCTATTTCCTCCAGCATGATATCCCAGTTAGGTCTGTCGGCCGTTCCTCACCCCAACCCGTATAATGTATCGTGGGTCAACTCTAATGCCTTGGAGGTGAAGGAACGAAGCCACGTGCCCATCTCCTTTGCCACTTATAAGGAGAATGTCTGGTGCGATGTGTTGATTATGAATGTTGGACAAATTTTGCTAGGTTGCCCCTGGATCTACGATAACGATGTCTATATTTATGAGCGTTCAAACACCTGCGTGTTTGAACATGCTGGCAAAAAGATTAAGCTTTTGCCATCACAACCCCGGGTTACGGATGCCACGAAATCCAACCTAGCCAAATCTAAAAAGGGCGTGAACCTTGTCATCGCCAAGGTTCTGATTACTGAGATTGCCCAAGGCGCCCCTCTGTTTGCCTTAGTCGGCCGTGAGATTCCCACCAAATCTGATGAGCCCATTCCTTAGGAGGTACAACCTATTTTAGGACAATATGCTGATGACTTTCCCGATGATCTCCCAGATCAGTTACCTCCACTTAGAGACATTCAGCATGCTATAGACTTCATCCCTGGAACCTCCCTCCCAAACCTGCCACACTATCGCATGAACCCCATGGAGCCTGCTGAGCTTAAGAAGCAGATTGATGAGTTACTGCAGCGAGGTTTCATTAAGGAGAGTCTTAGTCCTTGTGCGGTGCCGGCTCTTCTCACACTGAAGGATGGGTCTTAGAGAATGTGTGTTGATAGCCGTACTATCAACAAGATCACCGTCAAATATCGATTCCCTATTCCAAGGCTCGATGACATGCTTGATATGATGACGGGTGTCACACTGTTCTCCAAAATTGATCTCAAAAGTGGGTACCACCAGATCCGGATCCGACCCAGTGATGAGTGGAAAACTTCCTTCAAGACCAAGGATGGTCTTTATGAGTGGTTAGTCATGCCTTTTGGGCTCAGTAATGCCCCTAAAACCTTTATGCGAATCATGACTCTAGTGCTGCGTCCGTTTATGGGAAAGTTTGTCGTCGTCTACTTTGACGACATTCTTATTTACAGTCATTCCATTAGTCAGCACTTAGACCACTTAAGGCAAGTTTGTGAGGTCTTAAGGAAGGAGCAATTATATGCCAATCCAAAGAAATGCCCCTTTCTAGTAGATCACGTCATTTTCCTGGGCTTCATCGTTTCAGCCCAAGGGTGTTCCGCAGACCCCAAGAA